TAAACCGTGAGGTTTGTGGTGGGATCTTATTTTTCTATGTTGTACAGCACTGATATACAAATCACTTTGGAGGGTGAACTCATGAATATTAAAGGAATAGTAATTAAAGTAATAGAATACAATTAAAGGAATAGAGATCAACACTTCATAAATCCCCTGGATGAAATCTAGTCAATCACTAAAAATCTTAGGTATATAGCTTCTAAGGATTTCCAAAAATGTTAACAATGTTTAATTTTTAATATGGCAAAAGGGAAAAAATATTTAAAACATGTCTGAAAAGAAATTATATTAACTTTATTAAATTTTAATTAAAGTTAAGTAGAAATAAAATTAAACAAACTTTACATTACTTTTGTGGACTAGGTCCTTATATGCAATCAAAAATGAAATTCAGTTCTCTCTGAGTACTCATTGTACATATTTTGCATTCACAAAGGGCAAAAATGGATTAAACATGAATTTCCTCTAATTGTATAGAAAATTAATACCTTTAAGATTGAGAGCAGAACAAATTGTGTGTTTTTGAATATGCATTAGAAATCTGCAGCAAAATTAACTTTGTTTTGCATATGATGAATATTGAATTGCAAGGGAAAAATTTTTCCCTTGTAGTTTGAAACGTAAAGAAAAATACTTTACCTTCTTTAAGTGATTGTCTTAATTATACCTGAACTGATGATGGAAAATCCAAGATTACTACATATATTGAGTTAATCTCATTTGCGTCTTCGTGATCATAATTTGATTATATTAGTGAAACTCTTTGTGATTAATTTCTCTAGCCAAAAAATATATATTTGAACATAATACATATAATTACAGCCTTAAAGACTGCCTATTTGTACTTTTTCCAAGAAGTATTATATAATGTTAAATTTTACTTTGAAATGTAAACATTGATAAGAATACTTAAGCTCAAATGATATATTTATGAAAGGGTGATGCATAGGCATTTTTAACATTTTTGCCTTTCCCTCCCACTTCCCCCAAGAATGCAAGTAAAGATTTGTTTGTTTGTTTATTATTGGCAAAATGGAAGTTAATGGTATATATGCATCTCTTATAACACATTGAACTGAGAAAAAAATATTTGATTTTTAGTAGAGTTTGAATTGTTTTATTAAATTTCACTACTGAGACCAGCATTTTCAAGACAGCAAGTCTCCAGCTGATAATTAAAAGATGTTTGGAATACAATATAGCTGGCATTTATGATATATAATTAATTTATATTTAATGTGCATTTTACCCAGAATATAACATTCCTTTGTAGAACAATTCAAAATTTTGCATTCAACAGACTTCTGAGTGAAATCTAAATTCTACAACTAATCATTCATCCAGTAACACATTTTTTCTTCTCTAGAAAATCTCCCAGTATGTTCCAGCAATTCCCCTCTGTAGATTAGATCTGAATGTTCATGGGACTTGCTCAGGAAAGGTAGAATTCAATAGCATATTCACTTTATTCACAGTCATTGGATTCAATGGATTCAGTATCAATCAACCAAGAATTAATAATATTAAGTCATCAAAAATATCAAAATTGGAAATATGGTACTTAGAACATGATGGCCATATTCATTTAAACTCTTAACAGCCTCTAAACCAGGATTCTCCAAAGTGGTCATTACTGATGACTCTGGGATGTTGGGACTATTAATTATTCTTGTTATATGATTGGGTACAGTAAACCAGATTTTTAGATTAGATATGGCATTTTTATCTACCTAACAAGTACTTTCAATTACTAATAAATAGTAATTACCAATAATTGGAAAGTAGGTACTAGTTAAAGTGGTATTTATTACATGATTTTCATACACTAAATGTTTGGGAGTTGATGTTCAAACTAAAGCTTTATAAAGGAATTGATGAGCTACTCTAAACTAATAGATATTGCATCATCATAAATTTTGTGGTACTACAGTCTTCCCCTACAGTCCCAGTATATCTGAAGACAATTAAGTAAATAATTTATCCATGAAGTATTGCTTTTCATTTGTGCTGATACTAGATATCAACTTGCCTGGGCAACTCAAAGTTGTACTATTCTGAAAAAAAGAGAAAACATTATGTATTTCATCTGCATTGAATACCTCCTCTATACTCTACATATCTCCTGTTGGTCTTATTACATTATATTATATTAAACATTACAAGCAAATAAGATTGGATAGAAATACTTATCCCATAATCAGATATTTCAATCATTTTAGCAACAGGAGAAACAAATATAACTGTAATCTACAACAAGACTATAGATTTTTGTCTCTTCCTTAGGAGGGGAAACAGATTTGAGGATATTACTCCATTATGTGTTTCATTGGATGTCAGTTCCATAATTATTATTAAGTAGCTTTTCCATGAAGCTTATTGTTTAATTCTCTTTATTCACTTACATTTTATTGTCCTTTTTTGTTTACCTGAAGTGGTAAGTTTTGATTATAAGCTCCTTAGAACAAAGACTTACCTATTATTTTTAATATTACTTATAAAATATAATGTGCAGGTTTCAGTCTTCAGGAGTATTATACAACGTATAACAAATGTTAATACAAAACCAAAACTAAATAAAAGCAAATATTTATTCATTTAGTAATCTCAAGAGGCATAGTAACTCTAGCTGACATACAATAAATAAACAAACACAACACAAAACCACATGAGAACCAGAAAAATAATAGCACACCATTAAGAATCCATGTCAAAAAAAACTACACAATAATTACCCAATAAATCAGTTCAAATCCGGATCACAAGTGAAGATACAAATCATTCTATTGAATGAGCCAAGATTTCAAGGCTTTTCTTAAAGAAAACAGGATCAAGCTATGCAAAGCTTTATGAATACTGCGCCTCCAAAATGCTACAAAATGAACCAGGTTGCCAAATTGATGGTGAATTCACATTTCCATGATCCCATCAGTTCTTTTAAAATATTTATCAAGTTTTGTTATATTTCTGTGTCAAAGCAGTTAACAGAGATAACAATGTGAATACCTCTTCATAATATTGAAAATTCTAATTTTATTCTAAATGTTTCTTTTTCAAATTCTCCTTTCATTTTTGCCTCCCACATTCTCAAGCCAACTCACCTATCCCATCTCAATTCAACTCACACCTATGTGAATTGCATAAAGGAAGGGAGGAAAAAAAATATCAACCCAACCCTGCCCTAATTACATTACTGGCAGGTATAAACTTGCTGTTCAGAGTTGATCAAAACGAAGCTTCTTGATTTTAAGATTGTGCAATTAACTATTCAGAAAGGTTTTTTTTAAAAGATGGTTTTATTTGCCCAAGTCATGAAATATTTAAATTGATTTTGTTTAGTTTACAAAGTATATTTTCCAAGTTACAACTTTTTTTCCTCCCTCTGAACAGAGGCAATGAAAGGAAAAAGAGAGAAAACTCCATTTTTCTCCATTGGAAGACTTCTAAAATAAAGATGATTTGCCTGGAATGAAAACTGGCTGCTGTTCTCAAAACTTCATAAAAGTGAAAGAAATTAAAGAGCAGACAGAAGACCATCAACAAGACAACATATACATTACAGGAATCCTTTCAACTACTTCCTTGATACTTTAACTTCTTTAACAACAACTGCAACAACAAAAAAGCTTTCTTCACAGACTTAACTGTAGGTTAGGTGAAGGGAGAAGAAAGTATTGTCTGAAAACACATCAAGCCAAATCCAGCAGAAGATAAAATGGCTCTCAACCAAGTTAACCTGGAAAATTATTTGAGCTGAGAACAACACATTTTCTTTTTCCTTTCCCTTTCCTTCCCAAACCATGATATAACTATTTATTTCACTACACTACATTTAACTACATTTTAGAAAAATATAAAGCACCTAGTAGTGAAAGGTTTATTTAAAAAATAAAGCAAAAACACATATTTTGCACTTATAATTTCAAGTTTGTACAGAATTTTGATTCTTGGGGTCAGACATTCCTATGAATCACTGGTGGTTTTCCCCACGTTACAGAAAGAGCACAATAATTTTTCAGCAATACTTCTGTGCAAAGTATGTACACTCTTATGAAACTCACACATCAGCCTTTTACAAGGGTCATATAAACAAGAGGTCAGTCTCTTCTGCCAAATTCTAATCCCTGTTGAATTTTCAAGGACTTGAAATTTACTCTTTCTAAAAGAGGAGTGCCTTGAAGCTTTTGGTTATATCTTCAGAATAACAACCAGGAGAATCTTGTTTCTAAACTTTAACAGACTACTTGCAGCAATATAACTACAGAAAAATATGATTCAATGAAGTATAAAAGATTTCTATGAAGAAGCGGAAAACAAAATTTGAGTTTAGGACACATATATGGCTCACCATTCAATTAAATATGAATCTTTTTTTTAAAGCTGTTCTTGTTTCTCAAAAAAATGTGAGATTGTGTTAGCCAAAAAACTGAAAACAATGGGAAGGTGACTCTACAGCTCTGTGCTTCTTCTGTTGACTTGTCACCTTCATTAGAGTGACCAAGCTCTCTTTCAAAAGCCTGAAGTCAAAATGGGGAGTAAGGAGGGTATTTGTTCCACCTTGGGCCTATTCCATCACTCAGCATTTAATAAGTATCAAGAATAATTTCTGAAATTCACATTTTGATAACCAGGATCCGATAGAAGTACTAAATCTTAAGAAAACAAAAGAAGATAATGTTATACTTAACTCACAGAGTAACTTTATAGTGGTAAAGTTAATGAGTCCCTTTAATCACATATGAAATTCAGAGGTGGTAGGAAGTTATACGTGCCTGGGTTAATAATGAGGGAATGCAAATGATCGGTGGATGCCCTTGGCCAAAGTGATTATACAGAGGCCACAACTTGAATATAACCAAACATGTACAAAGTGTGCTCCTGAACAACAGCTTTCTCGCCATACATCCAGGAGACAGATTCCAGGCTACAGCCCAGTCCCTTTCTTGGCGAAATTCCCATGCGCAGAGTGGCTGACTTGCTCCTTCTCATCTCAGACTTACCTTTCTTTTGATCTATAGCAGAGCTAAAGGTGCTCAATAGCAAAGCGAAGAGGACAGCAGCAGTAGAGACCCGTCTCGACCCTAAAGTTTCCGCGCCTGTTGCTGAAACTCCCGCAGATCGGCGGTTTCCGCGCCCCATCCTGTGCGGCGACAATCCGGAGCGCCAGCGCTCGGCAAATCGAGCCTGTGGTCCGAAAGTTTGAATCCACTCGCTGCGCTTTTTCTCGGTCGCCCCCAAGCTAACTCTGCTCAGCAACACCTTTCTCTTTTTGCTTCAGTTTCTCAATCGCTACCCATGCCGAAAGACTGAGGCAATCCCAAGATCGGGGAGTGGGGGAGAAAGGGAGGAGGAGCGAAAGGAGGCTCTTTTTACAGTGGTTGCTGGCTGCGGTGCCGCGCGCTCACTCGCTGACTGAGCAAAGGAGTGAACGATCCTCGGGAAGCTGGCCCCGCTCCGCGTCCGCGCAAGGGGCAAAGAACCTTTTGCAGGAGTGGCCAATATACAGTAAACACAGTGCGAGGAACTCCCAGCCGAGCCGCACGCACAACACGAAGGAAAGAAAGTAGGCTAAAAAGATATCCGCGTTCCATCAATCCTCCCCCTCTTCTTTGCTAAGCTTACAAACAAAACTTTTTCCTCCTAGCGCACATCTCACACACTTCCTCTTGAGCCGTTGGCCAAAACCAATGAAAAACAAGAGGCGGGAACTATAAGAAAGAAAAAAGAACTGGGTGTGCGGGGAGAGGCTGCGTTGCCTTCAGGTGTAGTTTTGTACCTGTCCAGTGCCAGTGATGGGAAGGGCCAGAAATTCCTGTCCAGCTGGCTGAGCTGAGTAATACGCATGTGCGCTTTTTCATGCACTTTCAGGGGGCCGCCCCTGTGGTTTCGTTTATCTGCTGCTGCCGCCACAGTGACGGTACTACTGATTTACCTGCAGCTGTAGCGTTCCCGCTGTTCCAAGAAATGAGATTAAATCTGTGCTAGCAGGGGGGGAAAACCCAACATGTCATTACTAATCTATACCTTGGAAAGCTGTAGCTGAGCTGAAGTGGAGTCAGGAAACAAGCTTATTGTCCAGAGCAGCTTGTGCAACACCTTGGCCAGTCACTGGATTCCAGTAATCTTTTGAAGCCATTCCTTTGTGTAAAAATCAAATCTTGTTACAACTTGAAGACTTAAAGTTCTTCCAAATGCTTTGTCCTTGAACTGGCAAAAAATTACAGTGGTGTAAATTTGCTTGTCAATTCCTATTTTACCACAGACAGTGCCAGCAAATTGTGGTGGTGTTATTAATGTATGCAGGCCATGCAAAGGACTGAGATTGAGGGATCACTCCTGAGATTTGTTTTTCTCCCATTCCACCAGTCTACTAGTACATTCAAACAGAGCCTAAAATATTAATTCACATTCCAAGTACTCTAGGACACCATAGCATCTACATTTAAAAGCAGTCCCAGCAAAAGCTGGCAGATATGACAAGATTGTGTCATGAAGAGACAGAGAGAAAGCACTCTCATGCTTCACTAGGAAGCCCCACCATTACCTACATTGATAGGTACTTTGAGGCTAATTTAATTTAATTTAATATAACACTCTCTGGATTGACTAAGATAATTAACATGTTTGGGTGGGAGTGTCTATCTTGAAAAGACTAGAGACTACCATGAATGGTCAGAAAGTTAGTGTCCATTTACCAAAGAGAAGGAATGTGCATGCACCCACCTGGAGTGGCTAAATAGGTGCTCTGGTAATTAGTAGAACTGTTGACAAAGTGGATCAGATTTTATCTGTGTAATCACTTTTCTGACTCATTGCAGTCTTTTCAGATATCATCTTTTCACTGATTTGTAAAACAGATCATTATTTCTTTATTTATTTGCAATGGATAAACAATTTTTCTTCCAGTAGCCCTGTACCTACTGACCCTAGCTCCTCAACCAACACTGCTGAATTGTGTGGCTCATTTATCACCAGGTTTCCAGATACTGCAACACTAGCAGACTCCTTATTGGATCATGACCAATCTGGTAGGTTTATTGAAGAAGGCTGAACAAGAGAAGCTGGGAAACCCTGTTTTCTGTGGTTTTTCCATACTTGGTTTGATTTAGTTTTATAATGTTTTCACTATGTCCAAATATATTCTGTTTGCTCAGCCTAGTTATTAATGACTAAAAAATATGGCAGCATCATTCATGATTTGCTTGAAATTATATTTGATTACTTATCCAGTTCATCAATTGAGGAAGGTATATACAGCGTAGAATTTTCTCCATCTTTATGCTTTTCATTTGGATGTTAGAGTTGCCTGTGTACCTTTATCATACCCAGGAAACTTTTTATTAGGATACTGGACAAGAATATTCTTTTTCTAGGCTTTTTCACTGTGGATTGTTCCAGTAGATTATCAACAAACAGAAGTAAATAAGGATGTGTTAGAGAACAAAATGTCTCCTATGCTGTTCACCACAATCTGCATTCAAAGATTAAAGATTCATTACAGAGAATTGCAATAGAAAGATAACATGGGACAAAATGAAAATTTTGAGAAAAATAGACAAAAAGAGCTCTTCTGTTGCTAGTTTAACAGAAACTAGTTTCTGTCCCTGTATTTACACAGAATTTACAATATATTTTGGCAGTCAATAACAGTTATGATCCCTTTCCTCGCTACTTACTCTACTCCAAAGCTGTAAATACAGTTTGAAAAGGAAATCAAAATAGCTATTCCATGAGTAAGAACAATATATTATTGTTTAAATATTGTAAGAAGAGAAAACCACTTAGGGAATCTGTTGAATAAAAGTGATGCTAAAGATACATTAAAGGGAAATAATGAGAGTATAAGCAAACAAAATAAAAGAATTTAGAATGCATACTTTATTGAGAAGGATAAAGAGCAGAAACCATGTTGAAAACTTACCTTCATATAAAGAATTTGAAAAACTGAATTTAATAGTAATTTCAAGAGATGAGGGTCTCAACATCTTTTTTGTAGTATGGTGATGAAAATAGTTTGCAGTATTCCAGGGGGGGTCCTTCTAGGGTTTTATAAAGTGGTATTAGTACTTCATGTGATGTTGATTCTATGCCTGTTTATACAACCAAGGATTGTATTAGCTTTTTAAGCTGCTGCTGCTACTGCACACTGCTGGGTCATATTCAAGTGAAGAGTCACTAGGACTCCACGATCCCTCTCACAGTTACTGTTTTTGAGCCAGGTCTTGACTAATCTGTACTTATACCTTTGATTTTTTTCCCTGCCTAAATGTAAAAGTTTGCTTTTCTCCATATTGAAATTATTTTGTTGGATAGGGGCCGTTGTCTTCAGTTTGTCTTCCGGGGTGTTGACTATTCCTGACAGTGTAGTGTCATCTGCAATTTTGATGAGTTCCCCTTCTCTTCCCTCATCTAAGTCATTGAAGAATATTGGACCTATAATGGAGCCTTGTGGTACCCCATTACTTACTTCTCACCATGCGGATGTAGTACCATTGAGGACTACTCATTGAGTATGGTTTATCAGCCAGCTACAGATCTGGTGATGATGTTGTCTATCCCACATTTTTCTAGTTTACCAAGAAATAGATTGTGGTCTACTTTATCAAATGCCTTACTGAAATCTAAGTATACTATGTCCACAGCATTTCACTGGTCTATTTATATAAATCTAAACTAATCTAAAGTAAAACTGATTCAAATTTCCAGTATAGGGTAAATTTCTGGTGAAAATTATTGGTACATGAAGTCACTTATAAATTTTTCTCTATATCAGCAACATACTCCACAGAAATAGGTTAAAATGAAAAACATACCCAATTCAAAACATGCTTAATTGCAAATTAGTAGCTACAAAATAGTAACTTTGATAAGAGGCAAAATAAAATCTTTTTTTTCTAATCTTTAACTTTCAAAGCTAATTATTATTAAAGACAGTATAATAGTAATCACTAAACCTTGAGAGCTTTCTTTCCATTACAACCAGTGAAAAGGAAGAGAAAATGATTAAAGTTCCCTTACTAAGACTTGATTTGACTTGAAGGGTGTTGTTGCTTGTCTTTTATGATGCATGATTTAATCTTTTTATGATTCCATTGCTATACGTTTAATTTATAATAAGCTATTATGACTTATTATCATGGTCTGGGCAAATACATGCCTACCTTCATTTAACAAGTTAAGATTTAATAAATGGTACACATGGAGCTGGATTCCAAATACTATCTCACAATAGCTGGATAAAATTTCACATAATTCAGTTTAATTAAACATCCATCAAACTATTAAATTTGACAGTAATTATCTCATGTTATAAGAATTTCGGAAGTATTGTTTTAAAAATATAAATACATTGATGCTTTGTCACAGAAAACCCTCTGACTTGACAAACACGGAAACAGACATCCTGAAGAAACAAACAATGTGTAAATAACAAAAACATCTAAAAAGAAAGGAATAAAAATACCAAAATCACCAGGTCTAATATCATAAGAGTTGCAACAAATGTAGGGATTCTGGTGACCTGACCACTCTTTTCTATGCTGACATGAGAATGGGGCAATAACATTGTCTGGTTGCTTAAATATATGAAAAGAGACAGTCCAAGATTACATGGGATACTGTTTCTATTTCCACCAAAAAATAAATTCCTCTGAGATATATTATTGAATCTTCCGTCTTGCTAGTTAGCAAAGCACTGTGGTAGTGAGGGTACAAGATCTTCCATGTTGCTACAATAAATGTTTTCTAAACAGTTGGCATGGAAGAGTGATGTCCCAAACTGGTCTGTTCGTGTAAATGTTGAAATTTTGCTTAGATAGTGCTTGAATATTGGTATCAACAGTGTTTGGTTTCAGCTCACTCAAAGCACTCTTCAGGTTCTTAGGATCAAAGAATAACATTTTACATTTATGCTAATGCCTGTCTTCCTAACATAAAGTTGCACTTCAAGGTCAAGGTATTTAGAATACTGTCTTAAAAAAGTAATTTAGTCCAGTATATCAAGCAGCAAAACCAGACATGAGTTTTCATTGAAATTAGGCCTCATTTCCATTTCAGGAGGGAATTTTATGCACCAAGAAGAATTTATAAATATAGATTGAACTGTCCTTATGGAGCTTAGCTCACGAGTAGCAAAACTGTATATTATATAGCAGGGATTCCTGATCCTGTTTCTGAAAATTGACATTATATCACAAACAGAGTTATTTCCAAAAAATAACTCAAAGTACCAATTGTACTTGAAAGTATATTAGCTTTGGTGATAACATGTCTATGCTACAGTTTCCACTTCTCCGTGGTTGGAAAGCTATAGGGCAGTCTCTGAATATGTCAAATTTATCCCCACAATAATAGATAAGATAGCTTGCCCAACTCATCAAGAGAAAAGGACCTTTGATAAATAATAAATTCTTGTGGGCCAGAACAAAGGTCTGCTGCCATTGGAATAGTGGAAGTGCAGCAGCAAGACTTA